CTCTCTCTCTCTCTCTCTCTCTCTCTCTCTCTCTCTCTCTCTCTCTCTCTCTCTCTCTCTCTCTCTCTCTCTCTCTGTGTATGATTTGTTGCATATTGGGTTCCTTTTAGATTGTGGGATGGAGGTTCGTAGAGGGCGAGGGTGGATTTCGTCTTCAGTGTGAGTGGAAAGTGAATCATAGTGAGGCAGGTTTTGAACTCATTAATAGAATTACCAAGGTTGCTGAAGCAGCTGGCCATTACCCTCTTCCTTTTCTTAACCACCACCAAGATTCCAACAAAGTATGTGCAGAGTTGTGGACCGATTATATAGGTGAATGCCTTTTTTCCCCCCTCTTCTCTCTCTCTTGGAGCTGTGAATCTACCTTAATTTTCCATTGATTATTTGCCGGTTTACATTATCTCTTCCATGTGATTCTTTGATGGGTATCTTGATCATCACATATATTCGCTGATTGTTAAAGGTATTTTAGTCTGGTAGAACTACACAATGTACTGCATGAACTAAAGGCTTGATGATACACTTCACAATCTGCTTGAGAGCTTTCTTCGGCTAGAGAACTTTGGCAAAGTTACTTGATATTCTTTTTAGCAAGAGGGACTTTTAAGTATACTTTTTTTATGTGAGGGACATGTATAACCAACATATTCATACTACAGAAAAATGACAGATAAGAATCAGCTTTCATAAATCAAACAGCCTCGAACATATGATATATAGAGAGAGCACAAGACTTATGTTTCCCAATCCATACTACTTCAACTATTAACAGCGTTTAGAAAAGACACACTAACAAATAAAAGCTGATATTCATTTTGGTGATTAAATGATACCCAATATTCTGGCATAAAATTCAAAAACGCTTTTCAAGGGAGAGAATTATGGTGGCGTAGCCTATCTCAAGGAGAAGAATACCATGGAGCCAATGCGTAGTATTGCGAAAGATATAGACTCCTGGGCCTGATGATTCCTGGATATTTTTATCAAAAACTTTTAGAGCATCATTGAACCCAATTTGGTTAAGTATCTTCAAATAGTTCCATTCCATTCTTGAATGACTGAAGAGGCAAACGCAGCGTCCATTACGCTAATCGCAAATAGACAAGGGAGGAAGACATCTAGGATTGTAGGCCACTGGTCTAGCATGGTCTTTATGAATTAAAATTACTCGGTGAAGTGATGGCCAGCAAGATTAAAGAATTAATACACATCGTTGACAATCGAATCCAAGTAGTTTTCTTGTGGGTACTTGTAGAATTTACTTGCCCACGAATAAATATATTAAGGCACAAAGATTAAAAGGTTGGGATTCTATAAAAAAAATTTGAATCTGCCTAATATTACATGGATCTGGGACCTCTTGTTATATATGCTTTACAGTGATTGTTTTGGGAGGAACGTAGCAGGACTTGATTTGAGAGTTTGCTTCTTTTCATGTTAGCAGGGATTGGAAGTTTAAAACCCAAATCCATAGTGTTGTTGTCTTATGCCTTGGCTAAGTTAGGAGTACAGGATACACCCAGGGCATGCATAACCTTGGCTAGTTTTTCGTTGTGATTTTTGACCCTTTAAGGCTATTTTGGAGATCCATAAGTTTAAGAATGATTATCACGTTTTGCCATTCCAGTTGGTCATTGTGGTGAGACCCTGAGTGGTGTATTCAGAACATTCTATGGGGCCTGGATTGATATGAATGTCTTGCGATGTTTTTGGCTATACTGTTATGTTTGATGATGACTTTATAGAACAAACTTTGAAATCCCATGTTTATCATTGAAAGTCAAAACTTCGATTTCAATAGCTGTTGGTTCGGTAAACGATTTAGAACCATCCATCCAAAGACAATGAATGTCAATGGCTTGTTTCATGGAGCTTCTCCAATAACACAGAAACAAGGAAGAATCACTTCCGAGATCACATTTTTGTATTGCTTTTATTGTTCTGTCTAAATGAAAATATACGCCCTGAGTCCAATTATAGGTTCAGGGACAAATTTTTGAACGCTTGTTAGCTGGCACATGAGGCCATTATGCTACAGGGACTTATAAAGGGGTGTCTGAGCACCCTAAAAAGGCAGTTGATTCAACCTGTGCCATATACCTGCTTGGTTTTAGAAACCTGGTGTATAAATAAGGGACTGTTGAAGTTCAAAAAACAAGAAAAAAATAATGTACTGAACTATGAAGCACGCATTTGTCTTTCCTTTGCCATTTTTAAGAAAGATTGCGAAAATGAACTGGGTATTTTTTAAATGTGGCCTTCCCAATAGAAGCCTATGCTAATCCTGCTAGTGAGTTCTGCATATAACATGTATGCCTTGGGAAAATCATAATTTTCAGCATGAAAGAATTTTACATGGAATGAAACTCAAAAAGAAGAATTGTAATTTTATGAATTTCTTCGTGAGTAAAATCATATGCACTAGCTATGGGCTTATCCATTCTTCCCGATGCCCCTCTCTTCTTTGCTGATTCAAGTCATTCCACTTCTGGAAAAAATATGCAAATATACTTTTGTTGAGTGGAATAGGGCCAGTGCACTTTCCTTCTATTCATTGTACACAAAAAAATTAGGCATTTGGGAAGACGGGACTTGAAATATATAACTGGGGCCTCACTAGTGAGGTGACTGTCTTGGTGAAGAAATGAGACCACTCTATGGACTGAATCTAGTAAGGGGGATATTTGTGTATTTCTGCGACATGAGTGACTGCATGTTTCGTATAGGATGAGGCGCACTTCTTCATCTTTTATGCTTTGTCATTAAGTAGCATATTCATATTTGTTTGTGAATTAGGGCTTTGGTTGGTTAGAACTAGAATTGGATTCTGTATATTGTCCCTGGATATCATATGATGCGTCTAGAAAGAGAAAGACAACCAAATATTCAAAGGAGCAATGAGCAGTCTCTAATAGCATGGGATAAGGTATGATGATTTGGTTTATTGGCTGGCTGTGAATGAAGCATATAACTAATCAAGCTGCATAGTTGTTTCGTGGAGATGGTTAGGAGATTTAGAACCTAGCTTTATGCATATGAAGCACTAGAGTACCTCATATCTGGTAGTCTTGAAACTTGGGGTTGGCATTACTCAGTAATCTTTTCTTTTACTTTGATAGTTGATACAATACAATTTTTTTCATTGAAAATACAGTTGAGGACATCATGCCCTTAAAATTGGAAAATGGGGCCTCTTCTAAAATTATCTTAAGGGCAAGAAATAATTTTCTTTGCTTAAAATGTGTTTTCCTCAGCAAATTCAGGCTTCTGTGTAACTTGTGAATGTTTCCTTTACCTTATGAGACAGGAGGACTGAGCATGAATGACTTCATCTTGGCTGCTAAAATAGATGAGATCAAGATATCAGATCTTATACCAAGAAAAAGAGTTTGGGCCTAACAATGGAACACCTTAAACGCTTTGGACGCAGTTCATCTTAATAGCATTTCCCTCTTTTGTCACGTATTCCATGACTGCCAATCGTGTATCCTGTTGTCACTATAATGTGTAACTGGTAAAGTTCTCATTCTAACATCACATGGTAGATTCATGAACATGGGCATTCATTTTGTACCACCAAATTGTGTTTCCAAATTTCCTGAGTTGTGCAGAGCTCTCCTGTATAAAAGTCCTATGGTTTGCAAAGTGGGCCATGTAGTTTCAAATGGTACAGGGGCAGAATTTTTCTTATTAGTTTACTCTTGAATACAATACAGTCAATCTTTGTCCACAAAAAAAGAAAAAAAACTGTGTTGAAAGAAGATTCGAATCAGCCTTCAGGATGCACACATATTATGCACTGACTCATTATGTTTCCACAAATTTAAATTGCCAATCAATCACCATTTCCCTAAATATCAATATTTTCGGACAATTATAGAAACAAAAAAGTAACTGGCATGTTAGCTGTTAATTGTGCACTAAACAGACCCATTAGCAAAAGGCTCGTTTAGCTATTTTCCTTTGCTTTACTAATGACATGCCAATGATCGAAAAGATAGCGGCAAGACGATGTACATGGTTGAAGTTTGTATGGATATAATTCTAAGTCTTCCTAAAAGCTAGTTTTGCCTTAATTTTTTTCGTTGTAATGTTACGAATTGTTTTTCCTTCCTGAAAGCTAGTTTTGCCTGAATTTTTTTCCTTGTAATGTTCCCAATTGTTTTCCTATAAACATTGAAGATCCATAATCCCCTTATTGATGAAAAAAAATAAAAGAAAGTTTTGTTAATATTTTGTGTTCTGCATTTTCTCTTTTAGTTTTTTTGGTTAGTAGAGGTATTTTGGGTTTTTTTTTTCTGTAATGGACTTTTCTGAAATTTACAAAAAAGCCAGGGGGTTCCTTAGAATTTGAATTTAAAATTTGCTTGGAAAAAGGTCTTGTGCATGGAGACAGTTTCCATTAATACTCCTAGAAATCTTAATCGTGCATGACTTGGGAAGGCGTAGAGGAGCTTTACTTAGGAGCCAAGCCAAATCTCTTAAAAGGAGGATGACTTTTACCCGCTTGAATCAATGTTTTTGCTGTGAAATTTCATAAACCAGGAACTTAGTTCCTATTATGGGGTGTCTTTGGACTCTCGTACAAGCCATTGAAGTTGGGCTTTGTTAGCTTCAACTCATTGTCTTTCAATCACAATTGAAATCCCTTAATTTTCACCTGATTGCGAGTTATTTTTCTCCCTTTTCTCTCTCTTTTGCATCAAATGGTACAAGAGTAGGAATCCTCTCTTTTGGACCTGGAGTTATAGCCAATAGAGGAGGACATGGAGGCCAATATGAATAACAGGTACTGCAAAGTTACCATCGGGCAATTCACAAGATTAGTGGGTATTGTAGCTCTATGGACAAAAATAAAGATGAGGAACATATAATATGATCGGTAGCATCGGTAGCACCACTGTCTATGATCCATATACCCTTGAATGAAAAAAGAGTAGAGTAACAAAGAATATTGCGAGGTTGATCAAATTGCTTGAACTACTTGCATGGAGCATTTGCAAATGTTGACGGTGTTGTTCGGGTGTAAATTGAGGGACCACTGGAAATGCAGGTCGGCCGGCCAAAGGAGGTGCAACGGATTGGGCATTGTAGGCATGGGGCTTGTTCTGGCTTTTTGGGCAGCCCACTAGCTTGAAACATCGGTCCTTCGTATGACCATCTTTGTGGCTGATTACAATGCAGCAAGGGTCGTGTACTAATCTTGGAGTTACGTTGTGTAGCAGCACTATTTGGGATGGGCTTCTCAGATGCAAGAGATTGGATCATAGCAAATGTTGCAGTTTCTAGTGCATGAATATGTAGGTTGATCTCACGGTGCCTCTCTTCTTGAAGGAAGAGGGAGTAGGCTTTGCCATCAGTGGGAAATGGATCCATGAGTAATGGATCCATGAGTAGATTGCTACTACGTACCACACTATAGGACTCATTAAGACCGACAAAAAATTGAAGAAGTTGTTCTCGTTGAATATAACTCTTGAGATTTCCAAGAGCTCCACAAGAACATGGGGTAAAAGAGGTGAGAGAGGCTAACTCATCCCTTTTTTTTTTTGGTTGTATGAAGAGAGTTGCTCATGTTGAAAGGTGGCTGAAAACTTCTTGATTTCATAAAGTTGTGGGGCGTTGCTTAGTGAAAAATGGTCTCATATATCAAACTACGCCCATGGGTTGTAGAGGCTAAAACAACACTCTTTGCAGGGGTCTTTGGATAAAGCATTAAGAAGCCATAATAAAATCATGTCATTACATCTCTCCCGTCGTAAGGAAGAGATGGAGAAAAAGCCTCCTATTTAGGTAGAGTTCCATCAACAAAGGGCTAACTTGTTTTTAGCACTTAAGGCCAACGCACGGCATGAGACCAAATAGAATAATTCTCCCCTATGAGGAGATGAGAAACAAAGATAGTCCATGGATTGTCGGAGTGATATAAAAAATAAGGAGATTTGAACAAATAGTAAGATCAAGATCATAAAGATTTTGATTTTCAGAGGAAGAATCCATGGTGCCATTGTTGTTGATGTCGGTCGTGGTGCACAAAAATCAAGATCTCTAAAACTTCTCTAAAATCAGCAGCAGTATTGTCTTTCTCTCTTTCTAAATTTCAACAGTTTTGGATTGGTAAGGTGTGAAAAGGATGGATTTTCAAGGGAGGTTGAGAGAGACAAGATTGATTTTAGAGAGTTGGATCAGCAATGATAGGTAAAAGATGAGCAAAAACACAGTGAAATGCTAGGATTTAAGAACCCTCTAAAATGCAGAAACAAGAATCCCAAAAGTTGGATCCTACCAAGATCGTGTACTTATCCCACTAAACACACACCATAAGAATACAAAGATTTATGTGGTTCGCCCCAAAAGGGCTACATCCACGAGCGCAGCAAACTGAAATCTATACCAATGAAAGTTACATTACATAAAGGACATAGAGTTACCTCTATAACCTTCGACAAAATCTAGTCGGATAAACCCTTTTAGATCCAGTCTCTCGATCGGCACCACCCGTTGATCTCTCTTCTCTATTCCACAGTTAAACCATTGTCTAGGAAGATACCATCTCCATTCTACAGCTAAAGCACTGTCCAGAAGGAGAACCTTGAGAGCAACAAATAATTTCTCTCACTAAAAGGAGAAATCACCTAAAGTCTTCATGGGAACCGCTTTTCTATAAGAACCAGCCTCTCAATGTATAAGAAGCACATCGGGGAGAAGGGGAGGTATTGCCTCTCATGCAAGGTAAACCCATGCCTCTCTCTCTAGAGGAAGGTACTTTTCCCATATGGTGACCCAAATAGGGCACATGAATTCTCCGCACTTTCATAAAATTATATATATATATATATATATATATATATATATATATATATAATAAGTAGTAGTATACTACACTAATAATAACTTACTATAGTATA